ATTAATTTTCTAAATTTTTAGGGGCCCCACAGGCTGGATAGGCCCGTGGGCCACATTTTGCCCACCCCTGGCCTAGGATGCAAGTAGAATGACAAATGACTATCTAGGTTTGGAGAATGTGAAGCTACAAAATGGTCACAAATTAGTCAAGTTCAATGACAATGAAACATCTTCACTTACTATTCAGAAAAGCCAATCTTGAAATCAAGCACATATGCTGAAGCTAAATTCTTTGTTTTTATTCAAAGATGGCAGCGTATTTTCTAAGATCTGAGGCAAAACAGGCTTGTGTATGTTTGGGTTGTGGGGGAGACCGAGTTATAAGTATATTAAGGAGGAGGAGGAGGCAGCCTCTAAATTAGTTCCTTGGCATTCACTTTCAGCCCATATGCTTAGCACTGTCATTTTGAAAAAAATTCACAGAAAAGAAAGCAGGCCCAGTTTCTAAACAGAGCTAGGAGAGCAAGTTCATACAAGGGATGGGTAAGAGAACTGTTCAAGGATGTCACAGGAGTGGAAGAAAAATGATGCTTTGAACGTCCTGAAAAAATGTGTACAGAAACCACCGATTCCAGAATACATGAAAAACCACCAAACATTGCACAAAATACAGTTTTACCTACACCTTCATGGGACAAAATTTGACAAAACACAAAACAGCAGAAGCTCTGGGTATTGACAACCTTACAAGCCGAAAAGCTAGCTAACCTTCTAAGACATACTCACCACCACTTGTACTGGAAGAAGGGTCCACAGCCAGCACAGACACTTTGTGTCCTCTTTCGGTAAGCATTTTTCCAAAACATTCTATGAACGTCGATTTTCCAGCACCAGGGGGACCAGACAATCCTAGATTGGGAGAAAAAACCCCGCTCTAGTTTAATGAATATAAACAGCTCCTACTGCTCCTTTCTCAATGGCAAACCTGCAGACAAAACCCCCAATGCTTTGCTTTGATGAAATCATTTGTCTCCCCCAAATCCATATGAAAATAGTTTGACTTAAAACAATTGACACTTTGAGATAATTTCAACCGTTTGCTAGAGCATTCTATGTGCTGTTACTTATTCTACTATCCTCCCCCTACACACACATACAAACACCCTCCAACAGAGATTTTGTAACCAACCACTAAAATTAATCCTCCCTCACAGAACATATACTGACGGGTTTCATTTGCCCGTTACATCATAACAAAGGCAACCAGTAACACATACCAAAAACCGAGTCCTCAAATGACGAGTTATAACATACTTCAATTCCAAAATCACATCAATCCACTCAAGAGGCACCCACTCCTCAAACACGTACTCACTCTATCCATAACAAATTTGATTTTTCCAGCCTCTTCTGCCCTCCCCAGAAGTTTATCCATACTAATTTATACTGCGGAATTTTAAAAAGCATAATACATGGAATACACAAGATATTTAATATTTCCACAAATGACAGCTGAGAAGATTCAGACTAGATGCAAAGGCACAACACTGTCTTTAAATGCTGTTACTTCTAAAAAAGGCGTTAGGTGACTTCAACTCTGGACTTTCAAAATAAATCTGCCTTGTTAAGGCAAAAGACCCAACCCCTAGTACTTGCATACATCATGCTTTGTGGTAGCCCTTTTGATACAGGGCACGCATTTGACAGTTTGTAGGTGAAAGATAGATCTGTTTTTAGAAAGGGTCTTGAGTAATGATAAAATAGGGGAAGGACCTTAGTTTTTTCCTCTTTTTGGGATCCAAGCAACTAGAAAAATGCCTGTCCCTGAGGGGGGGAAAAAGAAAGGCCAGTTGGTAGTGTTTATCCACATCTAAGCTGTGAATGATTGCAAAATTCTTATTATTAATCAATTCATCTTTATCCTCTCCAAAAAACACACTTTCATTTTTAAAGCCTCTGTAGGTACATCCTGACGATCACTCATGTTTTCGCATGGGACAAATAGCAGCAGCATATATTTATGTTGCTATTTGTATCTAGGTACACCCCTGCACATGTGCTCTGGCATATGGCAAACTGCCCTGGGTGGGGTAGGGGAGATTGGGGCCAGCAGCTGTATTGGCCCCAGCAGCCTTACCTGGGGTCCTCGTGGAGCAGCAGTGGGGCTGACTCAGCAGGTTGGAGCCTGGCTGGCAGCCAGTGGCTCCGGCCAGCCAGGCTCTGTTTCTGGTGGTGCACGCTGCTGCCATATGCACTACACCCCTTTTTTGTGGTGTTGGGGTTTTTTTGACCCTAGGATCTCCTGCTGTCAAAAAACCCCCACCATGCTGAAAATTAGCAGTACAATGAATGGGTACACGTGCACCACATGTAGTTTGTGGCACCTCCAACGGGTTTTATGCACCACAAACCACACATGCACACTTGTCAGGATGCACCCTTTAAGAGCATTTTCTAGTACAGATCAAAGATAAATTATGGTTATGAATCAAACTGAACATGAGATGGTTACACTTCACCGATAATTGAAGGATATAAGAATATAAACCTTAATTTCTGAAAAAACAAAAATCCTAGTAACTAGAAACAAGATCAGTATTAGATCATAACTGGACAGACAAAAAAGGACTGACCCACTCTAAAGGCTAGTGGTTTTCCTTTATTTAACTGCTCTTGTTCTCTTTGGTAGGATAGTACCTTCTGAAGGAGCACTTGAGCTAGCTCCTTTTTCCTGCTGTGAGTTGACTCTACAAGAGTAATGGCTTCTGCCAAGCAAGCTCTATGCCCTTGGATTAATCCACTGTAAAGTTTGTCTACCAGTCTTTGTTCCTTGTCGGAAAGTCCTTGGGTCTGCGATTCCAAGGTTGCTTGGTAATGCATCCCTTTTTTCAAACCACCAGATGACAATACCCACTTTGTGCAATACCAGCGTACAGAATTAAAAGGTTTGACATATGGAAAAACTGAACCAGACGTGGAACTCCAGTGGAAGCTTTTGAAAAAGGTCTTTAAAAAAGGATAGCGAGGGAACCTGCGCAGCGACAAGGACACATTCATCATGCTCTTGATCAGCACCTATAGGATCAGCTCGCAGCCAGCCTAAGAGGAAAGAGGGAAAATTTTATTTGTTTTTAGAAGAAACAAACATGCAAGATGTTCCAACCAAATCCCAGAGACTCCAACCAACCAGTGTATATGAGCAACCTTTTCAATGCAACCAGATGACTTTGTTTTATCACACATTTGTGTCCACAGTGCAGAGGAGGGCGCTTTGCAGGCAAGATACCTGCGCAGCTGCTCTTAGCAAAAGACGGCACTCTCTTCCCACTAGCGAAATACTGCCTTGGGGACCTGCCCCCCAGCAAGCGCTGCAGGATGCACAAGCTGACGGTACTACATCGTGTTATTTGTTTTTAAAGCATGGGTTTTGGTAACATATAAATAAAAGTATAATATGAGTCTGGTTAACGCCACAAAGTGAAAAAAAAACAAACAAAAAAAGGAATAATCCAGTCCCTCTGGGGTTGGGAAGGCCTGGCGTCTGTGCACCAATGCAGGTCGGGCTCCATCCTCACCAGGCTCTTGAAATCTCTCGCTACGAAAATCCCCCTCCACCTGCCTGGAGGACGGGGAAAGTTTCCTGGCCCGCAAGAAGCGCAGGGTCCCGCCGCGCGGCAGGGCACAGGTCACCGGGCCAGGCAGCGCTGCCGGGGAGCCCCATCTACACTAGGGAGGAAGGCAGGGAAGACCCCGCCCCCGCATACGTCACAGCGTTCTTACGTCACCCAACGGCCCCGCCCCTCCCCGCGGGGTCTCGGCCTCGCGCCCGACCCACCGACCCTTCGCTTAGCTCAGTCTCGCGCCGGAACTTCCGGGTGCGGCCCGCTCCGCGCATGCGCAGCACAGCGCCCCCCCCACAGCGCCACGGGGCGAAGAGCAAAGCGGTCCCGGCCTCACCGAGGCGCATGCGCGCTCCACCGTTGCCCGCGGGGGAGGGGCAGCCCTGCCCCGCTTTGCTCAGCCCGTGCGGCCCTGTAGCGCTGCGGCTGCCGGGGCAGATGCGCGCTGCCCTCGCTGCAGGCAAGGTGTGGGCACGGGGCTCCGCCCGCCTGGGCTCGAGGCGCCGGAGAGAGCGGCGGCCCCCAAGGCGCACTACGGGTGAGGGACTGCACGAGTGTCACGGGGCAAAATGTGTGGGTGTAGGGTAACGTGTGCGTCTGGCTAGTCTACGCACACATTAGACAATACCTTACCATATAGATACTATACCCCCCACACACTGTATTTTACATATAAAAATTCACACACATATATACACACACTATCATACACATATTCATGCACTGTATATACACACAACTACCCTCTACCTTATTTACATACATCATATAAAATACACACATTACCATATACATACTATAATACACACACACTATATATATTATATATTCCACATGCGTGCGCACACACTACCATATACATATTTCTATTCTACCCAGGAAAGCATAAAAGCACCAATAGGCTTTCCCTGTGCCTGAAGCGGGGCATTTGTATCCAAAAGCTTGCAAAGAACCATTTTTCCAACTATTTAGTTAGTCTAATAAAAGATACCACATCTAAGCAAAGAACCTTGTCTGTCCCTACGCACACACACATACACACACAAATGGAACAACATTTCCAAGTTCTTCTGTGGCAAAGGTCTCAGGAAGACCACCAGGGCAGGGCAGCCTTCCACATGGTGGAATCCTGTGCCAGGGCCTCTGCTGCCAAAAGCCTGGCAGTAGGCAGGCATCAGCACAGGGTTTAACGTGCCATCATCTATTAATGCCCTGGCTCAGTACATCAGTGATTCTCAACTAGGATGCAGCAGCCAACTTGAGATCCTTTCAAGGGTGCTGCAGGAGTGCCACACAATGTGTCAACACTTAAGTATGTAAACATGACTCAAGATAATTCCAGAGATTTCAAATAGGAATCCAGAAAGTTAAAAAGCATTCTTAAAAGTGAAAAGGTAAGAGTGGGCATTTTCTGAGGGTTGCCTCGAGTCTAAAAAGGTTGAGAAACACCACAGTCTGACATACACACAGAGAATCTTATATACAAATGCAACTTAAATCCAGTATACAACAAGATACTTCTGTAGTTTTCACAAACACATTTTGTCTCTCTAAATCAGTAATTCTCAACCAGCATATCACAGGACCCTGGGATGCCATAAGGTCCTATTAAAAGTAACGCGAAATTCAATTTTTTCTGTGATTAAAACGAAACACCACTATATACATATTCATACATTAGTAGTGTTTCATTTTAATCACAGAAAAGTGTGGATTTTGGGTTACCTTTTTCATCCAAAAATTTGGGGATTTTGTTAAAATCAGAGAAAACTAGGATCCTTGATTATCGTTATCAACATGTTTCTGAATTTACCTAGTGCAGAAATGTCAACCCCCCCCCGCCACTCATCGTTATGAATTTTTTTTTTTTAAAAATTCAAGTCTGAACTGGTTGAGGAGTATTAAAAAGCAATACAATTATATATAGATTATATTGCTTCTAACATGAGGTGATAGGATTCTGAAAACACACAGGGAATGGTTCTATAGAGGTGAAAAATGTCACTTTTTACTTTGTCCTGGAATATATTGTGCCCTCATCTACACTTTACTCAGTGACAGCAAGATAATTAGGATAGATATTCTGTGATCCCAAACATCCTCATTACCCATATATTTCACTTTTCCAGAAATACTCAGTAGCTTGATAATCATATAACTCTTTCCTTCTCAGTGAGTGCTACTCCTTTTGGCCAGAAGGGGAAGCTACTAGTATTATATATTTTTCTGATTCAGCTTGGATGTGCCCTGAATTTATAAATTGCATCACCACAACCATAAATCTGTACTATTCAGCCAAAGCAAAGTTTTAATCACCTGAGGCCCTTAAAAAACATTCAACGCTTATCCAGAGTGCATTCAGTAGGACTGGGAACATGAGATAGAAAAATCACTGAATAACCTGTGTGTGAATGAATTTCATCCCCAGCTTTATTTTAGCATTCAATCGAACATGACCAGCAGCAAGTGACTTTCACCCTATTTAAAAGCCAAGGATTCTGCAGCAAGTTTCTGACTTTCCAGTTCCTGGTACATTTTTGTTTTGCTGTGGTCTCTGCAGTAGGTCAGAGATCTCTCTAGAGTATACGGTACATGAGGGAACTTCATCTTCTTACCCACAGAAGCAGAATTGAAACGTATAGAATAATTGTTAATTAGCAATTCTGTTTTTGTGATAGTGTGGGTCGGGGGAAGACAGAAATCATCATATTAAAGGTATGAACAGTTGCCCTGCAGCTTAATTCAATATTTATCAGACTCTTGACATTTTATTCCCGAGGCTGAAAAAGAGAAAACTGCAGTGTTTGCCTCAGATGACTCACACTCAGCTTTGTATGATAAACACCCTTCGCCCCCTCTAAACTAAATTCAACTGTACTTATTATGATGCTTTGCAATTTTAGTACTGAAGGAGACAGACTGAACTGCTGAGTGTTTCTTTTTTGATCAAATATCCTATTTCAGCCTGTCAGCATTAAGCAGAAATGTCTGTTTATTTGATTAAAACTAATCCATTGGCAATGCTACCTTGCCTTTTTCCCTGATACTATGGGCTGTAACACTAGCACAGTCAGAAAGCACATCAAAAGCCCTGTTCAATTCCTTTCAAGTTTTCCAGCTTTATGTCTATCTGTTACTTGTGTATAGTTTGGCAAATTCTTTAAAGAATTTTTTGCCATTTTGAAAGGTTACTGGTTATCCCAACTTGCAGGAGTGCCCCATACCTCCCTGGGCAAGAAGCAGACTGCTCCTATAGACAAATCAAATCTCAGAGAGGACAGCAAAGACTGCCAGAAGACAAGACCCGACTGGCTTGTATTTCATATTCATAACATTTCCTTTTCTATCTACATTTGTTCCAGGAAGAGACAATCCTGTTGTACCATTTGCTGTTCATACTACTTTGCCAGTAGAAGGAGATATTTAAATGCTAGTACCTTTTTATGGTGGAATTCACCCAGGACCACAGGTCTTCCAAAGGCCTTAATCGCCACTGTCCTATGTTAAGCTAGCACAATGACCTATCAAAGGGACTAAGGAGGAAATAGGGCACATGCCCAATGATTTAAAAACAAAATCTTTCAGACTTCCTTTCTTGCTCCTTGCTGCTTTTTTGCTTACAGCAGCCAGGCCCCATTTACCCTGGTAGACTCTATGGGTGACTGGAGAACTGCTGGGATTGCATCACCAAGGAAATGGTATATGATTAAATGAGACTGAAATTATTTTTTGTTCTAGCGAGTTTTTGGTAAGTCCACTTCACTCCCCACACCATTTGTTAAGGCTTCAGAAGCCTCTCTCCTTAGTTAGGGGTTGAACACTCCAAATATACATCTCTAAGACTTCTCTAGTAGTCCATCATAAAACCAGGAAAGATCAGCTGCAGTCTTGAAAATTAAAAACAAAGAAGGCCATTTATAAAATTATTCCAGCTTCTCAGCTAGTTTTAAAATAAATGATGATTAAGCAAAAAGAAAGGAAAGTGGAGAAAACAAGCTTACCTTCTCTACTCTTTGCTGGTTGCTTTTAAGTAGCCCATGGAGCCTTGGATAGGAAAGTTTCACAAAAGGTCTACTGCATAAAGTCAGACTAATATTCTGTGTTTTGATTTGGTTTACCGTTCTCATGTTCCTCTACTCAGAGTAGCAATGTAGACTAGGAAAGTGGAGAGTGCAGTGAAGCAGTAAGGAAGATGTTGAATGGAAACTGCCAGTCTACCTCCTCCTCACTAACCCCTCTGAATCAAAGAAGGCCAGATCAAATTAAAATGCTGAGCACGCATCAAATCTGCAATTTAATTTAGCTGCCTTCCTGAAAAAAAAAATACCACTTTTCTAAAGGTTAAACATTTCTGCTCCACCTCGGGAGCCAGGGGCAGTGGGGAGAGGAGGGATCCAGGAACATGTGTGCCCCCTTACCAGACCTGAGGTGGAGGCGGATGCAGCAGCAGCGGAGCCAGCAGCGGGGGCAGCAGCAGCT